GAATACCTTAAAGCAACTGAGGCCAATAGGAAAGGGGCCAGGAACTAGAGAAAAGGTGAGATCAAAAAGAATTAACCTAGAAGGTAACACCATGCACAGGAAATCAATGTGAGTCAATGACGTGTATAGCTATCCTTATCTCAACCAGCAAAAACCCTTTTTTTCCTATTATGCTTATACTCTCTCTACAACAAATTAGAAATAAGGGCAAAATAGTTTCTGTGGTTTGAGGGTGGGGAGAGAGGAGGGGCGAGTGGGTGTAAGGGAGGGGGGTGGGGCAGGGGGAAAATGACCAAGCCTGTATGCACATATGAATAATAAATAAAAAATAAATAAAAACCAAAGACAGCTCACATCACTCCTATGCTCAAAATCCTCCAGTGGCTTCTCTTCTGCCTGAATAAAAGCCAAAGCTCTCACAAAACTAGAATTTTAAAAATCCTCTAAGGTTTGGCTCTTTATTATCTCCATCCATTATGCATCCCTTCATTCTGAGTTCCAGCCTCACTAGTCTCCTTGTTACTCCTGGAATATATTTGACAGCCCTCACCTGGAGACCTCCTATGTGTCAACTTGCCTTCAACTCCTTCAGTTCTTTGTTCAAAAGTCATCTTTTCATGTGTCCTTTCCCTAGCTCCCCTAGTATTTTAATAGCTTTCTTCTAAAAAAAAAAAATCCTTACCGATTTTCTCTGCTCTACTTTTTCTTAGTAGTACTTTCCCTCTAGCACTTTATACAATTATCTGCATACTGTTTATTATTCCTTTTAAGGGTATTTTCTGATATCACTCCATCCTCCAACACTAGCTAGGTGTCCCAACAATTCAGTTCTAACACTAACCACTTGGAATTAGCACAGACCCCACACATTAGTGACTCAGCTCACAAACTCCTTACTTCAGATGCCAGTCAAAGTCTACCTACCTTTCTTACCAACCAGTTATAATCCCTTAGATAATTGCTAGAACAGCACACAGAACTCAGGAAACTACCTATGTTTAGACCAATCTATAATAAACAGTCATTTGAATAGGCGGTCGAAAGTGCCCTAGTCCTTCACTTGAATCAGAATGTGGCACCCTTTTGCACGAGTGCAAGCACTCACTCACCAGTCCAGAAGCATACTGAATCTCCTTTTTCAAGAGTTTCTAATGTAACTCAATCCAACCTTGGCCCTCCCTCCCCAAAAGTGTGGGAATGAAAGTACACTGTAATCTACTGGTATTACTGCCTAGTTCCATCCTGGGGTATTTAGAGATTTAAGTCACCTAATTTAGAATAAACTCATTCATCATCAACAGGGGCTCATGAATTATTTTGTAACTCAGAAATTTTATATTAGTTCTGTGACAGGAAAACCACAAACACAAAAATAACCAGCATTTTTTTTTATTATACCACACTCTTCAACTAGAAGGTAAGCTCCATGAGGCAGTTTTTTTTTTCTCTATTTTATTATTTTATTCAATATGGTATCCCAGTGTAACAAGAGTGCTAAATATTTGCTTTAAGTAAACAAATAAACTGAGTGGGTTCTTACTGTAAACAAGACCTCATAATTTGTTTTACTTATTTATCTGATTTAATCCTAATAACAGAAAAATTAGTATTATACTTCTTGCTGTGGTTTGAAGGTTTGTCACCTCTAAAATTCATGCTGGACTTCAGTTATCATTGTAACAAAATTAAGAGATGCGACTTTTATATTTTTTTCTGATGTACTGGGGTTGAACTCATGGCCTTAAGCTTGCTAGATAAGCACTCTACCACTTGAGCCATGCCCCCAGTCTAACAGGTGGGAGCTGTAAGAGTTTAGATGATGGCACAAAGCTCTAATTACACCCCTCAGGAGGCTGAAGCAGCAGGATCTCAAATTCAAGGCCTGCCTGTACTACAGTGGGAGATCCTGTCTCAAAAAAAACAGAGAGAAAAAGAAAGGGCAGGGGGTGAAGAAGTGTTTAGGCCATGTCCTTATAAATAGGTTAATGTGTCAAAGGAGTGGACTCTCCCCCTATTGCTCTTTTCTGCTCTTCTACTGTATAATGTTTTTCGCTGTATGACGGTAATTTCTTCAAAACTAAGGCCTCCTTGATGTGAAATAAGGTAACGAATCTGGCTTCAAAAATTTAATACTAGGCCGGGAGCCTAGCAACTAAGGAGGCAGAGATCGGGGGATCTGGATTTTTAAACCAGCCCAGGCAAATATTTATGAGGCCCCATCTTGAAAACGCCCATCACAAAAAAACATGCTGGTGGAGTGGCTCCAAGTGTAGGCACTGAGTTCAAGTCCCAGTACTACCAAAAAAAAAGTTTAATTCAACAGTCAATGTCAGATTTCTTTGTTCAACAGCTGCTAGGACTCTTACAGATATTTGTCATCCAGGTAAATAGCACCTTCCTGTATCCAGCTGATCAAACTGGAAACATCTCTCTCTACCATCACTCATACATAATCCCTGATGAACATCTATTATTTCTTCAAAATAAAAGTCATCTTCTTTTTTCCATTATCATTACCACCACTTCAGTAAGGCAACACCCTTCACTTGGATTAGGGCAACAGAATCCTTAACTGACAACACTTCCACTTTTTTCTTCTCATATTCTCCACACCACAAGAAGCCACAGTGATCTATTAAAAATGAAAATCTGACCATGTTTTAAAGCTTTCAATTGTTACCATCACACTTCCTATTTTTAAGGCTCCCGTGACACTACCCTTATTTTTGTTCCTCCAACCAACTAAGCCTTCTTCTCCCAGGATTTTCTGGTTGTTTTTGTCTGCCAGAAATAATTGGTGATTGTTCACTTGACTAACTCCTATTCATCTTTACATCACATTTGCTTTATACATCTGCTGCCCAATAATAACTAACCACTTCATTTGTTATTACTCAGCCAGTACTGTACCTAGCACAAAAAAAAGGGGGGAAATATAAGTTAAAGAAACACAACCATATTTGATGCTCTCAAAAACCACTCCTTTCTCTGCAAAATTATGAACATTTAAAAAAGAAAGAGGACGGAAAATGTTCCTTATGTTGGCCTGTAATCCCAGCACTTGGAAGGCTGGGACAGGATTCCAAGTTCAAGGCCATTCTGGGCTCCACAGTGAGATCATCTCGTAGACCCAGATAACAAAAGCACCACCACAAACAAAAAAAGTTATCACCAACAAAAAAAAGTTTTAAAAATGAATCAAGAACAAAATATGGTATCCCTGAATGAGGGTAATTCTCAAAACACCTTGGAACCATTTTTCCCTGCCTTATTTTCTGATTTACAAAACAGTGGAGATGAGGTGCATCAAAAACTTAACTGCAAGAAGTTAACTAGTAGGAAAAAAAAATTCAGTTTACTGTAAAAGAAAAATTAAAGTAGTTCTTCAAATTATTAGGTGTGTTGGTCAAACTCCACTTAACGGGGGGAAAACGCGTGGGAGATCAGTAAGAGGTGGAAGGAGAAAGATCATTACCTTCTTCCTTCGTCTAAGATGTAGACTTGCCCCTCCCACCCCCACCCCCGGTCCAGAATGTCCGACTCTGAACAATGCCGGATGGAGTCTAGCAGAAATTCCACGCCAGCAATCCAGTAAGCCGCGATCTCCATCAAGCATCTATCACACCTCTGTCCCCAAATGCGTGGCTGTCAGTCCTAAAGGCTCAGGCCCTACTCTCAGCGTGACTCCCATCCCACTCCCAGCACCGGAACACGCACTGGGTTAGTCACTTCCCTACTTGGTTCGCTTTCTAAAGACCGATCCTACCAAAGCAACTGGAAACAACCGCGGGCAGGGCCTCAGAAAAATGGGTTGAGTACCAGGCTCACCTGGGGCTGCACCGTGCTCGACAGGGAAAACATCTCCTCCGGGGCCTCAGCAACCTCACCCGCCTGCCGAAAGCGCCCCTCAGTCCTCGGCCCGGCGGGAGGCGCTGAGCCCTCTTCTTTTTCCTTTTTTTCTCCCTCCTTTCCCCCGACCTCACTCCTCCCAGAAACGAAAAATGGCCTCTCCTTCCTACAGCTGCTACGACAACAATCTACCCCGGAAGGCAACGCTGTAACGCAACAGTACTTCCGGGGCAAGTAAACGCCAATCCCCGGCCAAGTGTCAGAACTCCTTTAGGGGGCCGGCGTTTCTATACAATCCGTCGGAGATGTTGACAACGCAAGAAATCGCCAAAGCACTCCAGATGTAGCTTTTTTGCTGTCTTTTGGGCTTTCTTTTTTTTTTTTTAAGGCGGGGACGCATTCATCCTTTTGAATGTTTCAGGCCTTTCTACACAGTTCCTTATCAGATCTTCCAATATAGTGCCCTGTCCCATCTGAGCCTTGGGCTATTAAGAGCGCATCTGCTTTGTGGATATTTTTTTTTTTTTGCTACTACACTTAAGTAAATTTATCCTATACTTATTGGTCCTGGTCTGTTTCAGTCAGGCAAACTGCATCCTGGGAAAAGTCAGATTACAGGGCCAGCCACCTGCTTCCTGCTCATCCAGTTTCTCCACATTCTGTGACTTCAACAAGCTTCCAAACCTCGCCCCTGGCCATTGCGTCACGGAATTGCTTTACATCTCGCGGGGCGGAAGATGGCGAAGGAGGCGGGAGAATTACAGGTCTAGACTTGGACAAGGTCCCCCACCAGACTCGTTTGCAAATCCCGCGATTCAGATTTCTAAGTCCCAGTTGTCCCTTTCTCGTTAGCCGAGAACTGTTCGTGTCTCCTTCCTCATCACAAATGATGTCAGTGGGCCATTGCCATCGCTCTTACAGAGTCCCTGGAGACTCAAGACAGTCCCGGCACCGCGGTTCTCACGCCCATTGGGTCTTTCCGTATTTAACCTAAAGGGGGGCGGAAGGGCGGGGCTTTCACGAGAGTCGGCGAGGCCGCGCAGTGCCGTCACGGACGGGGCGCGTTGTGGGCGGAGCCTCACTTTGAACCCAGTTGGCGGGAGTGGCGGCTGTGAAAGGGGCCTTGGTGGCTGCAGTCTAGTATCAGCTGTCCTGCGATGGAGCCCGCCGCGGGGAGCGAGGAGAATGGAGGAGGCGCGGCGACAGAGGACTGCGTGAATAGGATCCCGGTACCAAGACCGCCCTCCATTGAAGAATTCACCATAGTGAAGCCCATCAGCCGCGGCGCCTTCGGGAAAGTGTACCTGGGGCAGAAAGGCGGCAAGTTGTATGCAGTGAAGGTAGGAAGTCTGCAAGAAAAGAAAGGTTGGCCCTTCGGCCCTCCCTCCTGCTGCCCTCTGACTTGGGCAGGCTCCGGGCTGTGGTCAGTTCAAACAGCAATAAACTGAGGCTTCAGTATGTCCGGCTACCCACGCTAGTCGCCCCAGCCATTACTGTTACGGAATTTTTGTTGTCTGTTTTGGTTTTTGAGACAGGGTCTTGGTACTCCAGGCTGTCCTGAAACTCGCGATCCTCCTGCCTCAGCCTTGCTAGTGCCGGGATTGCAGACGTGCACCACCATGCCTAGTTTGTTATGAAATTTTTAAATTGGCCGTATTACCTCTTCGTGTTATGTGTCTTCTGGGTCCTTTGTATAGCTTGGAGTTAACCAGGATTAAGTTTAAAACTCATTAAGTTTGTAATAACCGTTTCCTAATTATGTCTTTTAATTCTATCCCTCTGAAAATAGATTCTGACCTTCTGTACAATCAAAATATCTCATTAAGCAAACCTTATTGCTACGTACCTATAATCCCAGCATTCGAGAGGATGGCAAGGTCAAAGCCAGTCTTTGATACATAGTAAGATCATGTCTCCAAAAAAAACCCAAATTCCCAGTTGTTTCTAGTCAAACATTCCAGTACATGTACTTATAGAGTAATCTGAAATGTGTCCTAAATCAAAAATTTGTCCATGCAGCAGTATATTTCATTCTAAAAACATTCAACATGTATTTGAAGATGTTCTGTGAATTCTTGGTTTTCACATCACTGCAATCCAATTTTTTTTTTTTTTTTGGTGAGACTGGAGTTTGAACTCGGGAATTCAAACTTGCAAAGTAGGCACTCTACTGCTTGAGCTACATGTTAGTCCACCACAATCCAATTTTAACAATATTTCACTATTCAGCAAAATCCTCTTCTGCTCATCTGCAGCATCTCCCCACCATAGTACTTCAATTCCAGATAACCACTAATCTGCTTTCTACCTCTATAGGTTTGCCTTTCTTTGAACATTTTACATGAATGGAATCATACAATGTGTGGTCTTTTGCATCTTTTTTTTAAATCACTTGACATGATGTTCTTAGGGTTCATCAGGCCTTCGTTTCCATACTTAGTCTATTGGAATCGTCTCCTAACTTGAACCATTGTCTTTATTTTTCATAATACAAACTAAAGTTCAGATGCCTTACAGAAGCAATCATACTCCAAGTTTTGGCTATAGATCTCCACTACATCTTCCATACCCCTATGTTCTAGCAACACCTGATGACTAGTCCCTCAAAGCTATGTATTTTCTTGCCTTTGAGCTCATGTTTATGCTGATTTCTCCTTGAGTGCTTTTCTTCTTCACTAGTCTGCTCTTTACCCATCTTATGTATTAAGGTTCCTCTTAGCTGTCCTTGAAACCTCTGATCTGACCCAACCAATTGAAATTGTTACTTGTTTTATATGTTCTCAATGTTGTTGTTTTATCATGTGGTGAAATGAAAACACCAATTAATTTGTCCAATAAATATTTTGGATGTGGGTATTACTTTGGTGAACAAAGCAAATGTGCCTTCAAAGAGCTTTTAATTCAGAGGAATAAGTGAAATCATGCTACAGGCTTACTTTGTCAATTTCCTACAATTTTCTTGTGGGTATGTGTTTTTTGTTTGTGTGTGTGTGTGTGTGTGTGTGTTGCTGGAGATTGAATCCAGGGCCTTGTTCATGCTACATGTGAAAAGAGGTAAGACTGAAATTTATCATATTATTAAAGAAAATATTTTAATGGTGCCCTTTTTCTTTTGTAATAGTATTAAGAATTGATTCCAATGTTATTAAATATCTCAGTTTAGTGTTCCACTTCTAATGTATAATTTTGTTTGTGATCCAATTACCTTGAAACTTAAAATGTGTAAGATAGCATTTAAGACTGTTTCAGTGGTTCTGCTCACTCTTGTTATCTGTTTGTGAGGCAGTTTTCCAACATTATGATTCTATTCCTGTCCATCAAAGTGTATTGTATGTTTAGTATATTATGTATGATGCTAATATATGTTAATGATATGTTATCTATATATATCCGACATAATATATAACATTAACATGATATGCAGTATACTTTGTTATTAATATAATATAGAATATCTAATATATTTCTCTTTTGGGGAGGTGGATTTAAACTAAGGGCCTCCCACTTGGTAGGCAGGTGCTCTGTACTTCAGCCACACCCTCAGCCCATTTCACTTTAGTTATTTTTTTAATAGGGTCTCATATGATGATCCTCCTATTTCTGCCTCCCATGTAGTTGGGAGACATGCCACCACACCCAGCTGATTGGTCGAGGTAGCATCTTGATCACTTTTTGTCTGGACTAGGCCTGAACTTTGATCCTTTGGATCTCCACCTCCCAAGTAGCTGGGATAATAGGTGTGAGCCTCCACTTCCATCTGTGTTTCTATTACTCTGTTCCAACTTCCAAAATAGGAAATGGAGGTTATTAGGAACCTATCTATTGAGTTTGTTATAAGAATAGGAGAAAGTTTTTTCTTATCAACATGCAAATCAGTCAGGGAGCATTTATTTAATTTTTTCCTTCTCAAAATGAATGTAGTAACTTTGGCTACTTAATATCAAGATAAGCAGTTCTATTCTGAAGATAATGTTTTCTTTGTTGTTTGTTTTACCCTCTTAGCTATTTTTCTGGTATTTTCCTGATGGCAATGTTACATCCAAATGACATCTATGTGTTTTCTGTTTCTTGGTGTTTTTATGATGGCAGCCTTACCTTGAACCCTGAGAACACTATAATAAAAAATAAAATGTGTCTGTTGACGTGTTATCTATTACAGGTTGTCAAAAAAGCAGATATGATCAACAAAAATATGACTCATCAGGTACAAGCTGAGAGAGATGCACTGGCACTAAGCAAAAGCCCTTTCATTGTCCACTTGTATTACTCACTACAGTCAGCAAGCAATGTCTACTTGGTGAGTAAATAATTTTACTTTTTTCTTTTTTCATTCATTTAGCAGTCAGTGAACCCAGTGATTTAAAAGTACAGTATCTGCATTTCTTGTACTTGCATTTGAATCCCATCTCTGGCAATCAGTAGCTTTATGATATTGGATGATTTATTCATTATTTTAATTAGAGTAGAGCAGAAGAAAAGAACCCATAGAATGTGTGTTTGTATATATGTATACATATACAGAAAGACAAACATTTATTTTAAGTAATCTACTCACAAGACTGAAATATGCAAGGTAGGTTGGCAGTCTGGAGACCCATGAAGAGTTTGATGCAACTTCCCCAGTCAGTCTTGAGGCAGAATTTTTCTCTGTCCCTGGGAATGTCAATCTTTTTTTCCCTCTTAAAGAGTTTCAAATAATTGATTAAGGGCTACTCACATTATGAAGTATAAATTGCTTTCTCAGAGTGTACTGATTTAAATATTAATCTCATCTGAAGAATATTTTAGATGAGTTATAAAATGGTGCCTAATCTATAAACTCTTTTTGTACCCAATGACTTACTACATTTCTAATCTTTCAATTTAGACTCATGTTTGATGTTAAACATGATAGAGATTTAGTGGAAGCACTGGTGGAGTAGCTCAGGTGTAGAGTGCCTGCCTAGCAAGTGTGAGTCTCTGAGTTCATTCCTAGTGCCATCAAAAAACCACAAAGATTTACTGGAGGTTCAATGGGATGACCAGAAATTTTGAAAAGTAAAAAGGGTTTTGTAAGGCAGTGGTGAACACCTTTTTTTGTTGTTGTTTTAACATCAGGACTAAGTCAGGAAAAATATGGGTTTCTTTTGTTGATGTTTATTTATTTTTTGTCTTGTTTGTTACAAGCCAAAGTTTAAATAAATGGCAAAATGTGATCATATCATAAACAGTTTAGTTCTATCTATGTTTTCCACTTAATGGTAATATCCTTTTTAATGACAGCATACAATTCCATCGATTTAATCATGAATTTCATAATTTCTTCATTGAATGTAACATTGATGAATTGTCTTAGTTTTTTTTAACTCTTTTATTCTAAACATAACTGCAATGAAACTTACGAAAGTGAATTGCAGTATTTAGTTATAATGAACTCCTCTGGGGGAGATGAGATCTGATTATTCCAGGAAGAAGAATTTTGGAGTAGGAATACAAATCTGTATTGGAGTTTACCTTCAAAGCAAGGTAAAAACTCAGGCACCATGGCACATATCTGTAATCCCAGAACTCGGGGTTGAGACAGGGTCAGATCCTGTCTCAAAAACAAAGCAAGGTTAAGCAGAGCCCCTTTAGGAAGCCTCTAGATTCTGAGAAAGCATAAAAAGGGAGTCTACTTTTTAGGGTGATTCACTGTCTTGAATCAAATATATATGTGTGCAGTAAGAAAGTGAATATCAAATACATAAAAATACTTCACTTTTCATCTTCTAAGCTGATGGTGGCAAACTACTATGACCTATGGACCAAATTTGTCCTTTATAAGCTAAGACTAGCTTTTGCATTTTTAAAAGGTAGGGGAAAATTTTTAAAGAATATTTTTGGTACCTGAGAATTACAATGAAATTTTAATTCCAGTGAGTAAATAAAATTTAAATCTGTGCGTGGTGTGGTACATGCCTATAAATCCCAGCACTCAGGAAGGCTGAGGCAGGAGGATGGTAAGTTCAAGGCCAACCTGGGCTACATACACAGCAAGACCTTATCTCAAAAAACAAAAGTAAACCTGGTATTAATGTATGAGTGATAATAAGAAAATACATTTGTGGCCAGGTTTAGTGTATCACACCTGTAATTCCAATTACTTAAAACAGAGATTCAGAGGATTGCAGTTCAAGGCCAGCCTGGACAAAAAGTTAGTGAGACCCCCATTTCAACAAATGCACATCTGTAATGCATCTACTCCAGAGGCATAGATAAGGGAGCGTGGTCTAAGGCTAGCCCAGGCAAAAACACAAAACCCTACCAGAAAAAAAATAACTAAAGCAGAAAGGGCTTCAGGTGCGGTTCAGTTGGTGGAGTACGTGCCTAACAAGTGTAAAGCCCTGAGTTCAAGCCAGTATAGCAAAATAAAAATAAAAAAAAAGAAAGAAAAAGAAAATATGTTTTGTGATACAACCATGGTAAAAATCTGTAACTTTAGTGCCCAATAACTACATTTTTAAAGTAATTATAGTTTTTCTTCATAACATTAAATTCCTTTTTGATAGGTGATGGAGTATCTTATTGGTGGAGATGTTAAGTCTCTCCTACATATATACGGTTATTTTGATGAAGAGATGGCTGTGAAATACATTTCCGAAGTAGCATTGGCTCTGGACTATCTGCATAGACATGGAATAATCCACAGGTAAAAGACTGGCTTTTTTCCAGACTATTATTTAAAAATGCACCCAAATTATGTATTAAATGTTTGAATCTCAACTGTTGGCAGTAACCACTTGTCCATATTTCCAGGTATCAAAAGTTTAGAGATTTTGATACCTCTTGTTTTGTCTTCCTGTGCTTTTTAAGTATATTGCTATGAACCTGAATATGCATTTTAATGTAAAAAATATTGAATCTTTTTCTACTCCTACCATCACACAAAAATGCTTCATTTTGTAGTCCTAGCTCTTCCTCTCTGGAATGGAAGGTGAAGTGGTCTGATCTGTAAAGCTTAATCATGTTTTCCTTTATAGACATAGATGTAATTTTGACCAGGCTTGAGACTAATATTTTTTCTAATGGGATTTATTTACTTTAATGGAGTATCTGACAAATAATGCCAATGGTAATCTAGCATTAAATAATTTAACTGTCTTTGTGCGTTCAGCTATATAAATGATGTTTTTTCTTTTTTTTTTTTTTTTGGCAGTAATGGAGTTTGAACTTAAGCTTGATAGGCAGGTGCTGTACTACTTGAGCCACTCCATCTGGCCTTTTTGCTTTCAGCATTTTTTGAATAGGACCTCACTTTTATTCCCTGGCTGGTTTGAACTGAGATGCTCTGATTTACCCTTTCTGCATAGCTGGGATGACAGGCATGTACCACATACCTAGCTTCTTATTAGTTGAGATGTAGTCTTGTGGACTTTTTGCACAAGCTGGTCTAGAACCGTAATCCTCCCAGCGTCTGCCTCCTAAGTAGCTATGATGAAAGGCATGAGCTACCATGACTGGCTGATGTTTTCCTTTTGAGACTTGTTTTCTGCACTTTTCAAAGCCACCAGTGAGTGCCTTAATTTTAGAGGAAATAAGTGGGATTTGTCTCTACCGTAACACACACACACACACACACACACACACACTCTCTCTCTCTCTTTCCCTCTTTCTGTTCTCTGCCTTACTACAAGACATTCTAACATCAAACTACTTGCATTTTTGTATATGCAGGGATTTGAAACCAGACAATATGCTTATTTCTAATGAAGGTCATATTAAACTGACAGATTTTGGCCTTTCCAAAGTTACTTTGAATAGAGGTAAGGAAAATAGCAGGTAAGTGCCTTTTAAGTGTCCCAACAAATTTTAGAGAGTACATTTCATTAACTTGTACCATTTTCTTTGTTAATTTACAATAAATAAAATTTGATAGTTATTTATTCAAAAGTACTCTAGAAATACTTAATGGTGTGTTTTTTCTATTAAAGAAGAAAATAGTGGGGGCAAGAGGGCATTGGAGGTGCAGTTCAGTGAGAGCCCATCTGAAAAATAACCAGAGAAAAAATGGCTGTAAATTGTGGCTCAAGTGACTACCTAGTAAATGCAGAGCCCAGAGTTTAAACCCCAATTCCCTCCCAAAAATATAAATAAATAAATGCATAGAAGAAGGCTGGGATATAGCTCAATGGTGGGAAAAATGAACATAGAAGAATGGGCTAGGACATAGGTCTATTATTAGAGTGCCATGTGTAGGGCCTTGGGTTCAATCACCAGCACCATAAAAGAGTGGATACAGTATGAGAATGTTATTTTTTTTAATAAATGAGCAGTAACCCAAAGTTGGATTTAAAAATTACAAACCCTGATATTACAATTACTTGAAAATATAGCGATATCTATAATTCTTTATATGGAATTACAAAATTCAAAACAGTTATGAATCTCTAAAGGTTTTTCCTAACTTTCCTAAAATTCTGACCTGAGTTCATATGAGACTATTTGTAGTTTTTCCTCTTGGGTTTTTTTTTTTTTATTATTATTTCTTTTTTCTACATTTTTGTAGTTCTTCTTAATTCCACTCCATGTGATTATTTCATACATTTTGCTGCAGAAATAATATTTGATTGCAGGTGTATGTGAGATGTCACTTGGGATGTTCCATAAAATATAGTATGTTTACCATATTAGCTTTCTAAAATCTGAACATTTTCAGCCAGGTGCCAGTGGCTCATGCCTGTAATCCTAGCTACTCAGGAGGCAGAGATCAGGAGGATCACAGTTTGAAGCCAGCCTGGGCAAATAATTCATGAGACCTTATCTCGAAAATACCCAACACAAAATAGGGCTTGAGTGGCTCAAGGGGTACAGTGCCTGCCTAGCAAGCATAAGCCTTGAGTTCAAACCCCAGTACCACCAAGTCCATCAATCGATCAATCACTATAAACATTTTTGAATTGTGAAGCAAAGCTAGGATTTCAGATAAATTACTGGAAATTTGTATTAAAATGATGTTCTTGGTGAATTTAAATCATTTTTATGTCATAAAGGAATGTCTAATTTTTTAGTTTTATTTGTAAACTATTAGATTATTACTTATTTGTTCTTACTGCTCATCAATGTGAGACACAAATGAAAGTTAAGTTCAAACTTTATATTTTATAAAGGCCTATACCATATATAGAACATTAGCCTTGCTATTTTTGATATCTAAGTTAAGTAGTGTAGTATTATTTGTCAGTGTTGAATCATTTTAAAATATTACACATTAAATCATGCTAATGATATGTATGGGTCAATTTCTACATTGTTACAGGCTAAACTTATTAGTTAATATGAGGGATCTATAATTGTATTGCTCCCTACTTCCTCCTTTTCCAATATTAATTCACCGAAAATTATTTTCTTGCAAGTTAGATGATGCTCATTTTTAGTGACCAAGTACTCCTCAAAAAGGTATCAGGACTCTGTTTCATTTCTCTATGTTCCTTTCATTCCAAACAAAGCTGTGTTCTATCAGACTTTTTAATGATTTCATTAGCTGTAAATGTTTCGTCTGTGGCATGGCATAATATTTACCTTGCACAAACCAGTTTTGTAGGCAAGGTTAATATGTAGAAAGAGGGGCAAGGTCAGCATGCATAATTATTGACTTAGTCAATGACAATTGAAGATTTTGAAGAAATTCATATGCTTTCCTTTGCATGTATAGACATCAATATGATGGATATCCTTACAACACCATCAATGGCTAAACCTAAACAAGATTACTCAAGAACCCCAGGACAAGTATTGTCTCTCATCAGTTCTTTGGGATTTGTAAGTATTTGATAAGAAAAAAAACTCACATAACATACCCTTTCATGATCACCACTTAAAATTTAAAGTCTCCTTTAAAAAAAGAAGATCAAAATAGGTTTTTTTCTTTTTTGAAAATTAAATGCATATGATGTTGCCAGATAGTTTATTAATTTACATCTTTAATCTTCCTGAGTAGGTGAAAATGTGTCTTTCCTGACCACAATTCTAAAACATAAGCAAATCCTTTTTCTGTTCTTTTTCCCATTTTTCTTTTCTTTTTTTTGTGATACTGTGTTTCCTCATTTTTTAATACATTTTTATTAGGATATATTCATTATATGGGGGATTCATAGTGACAATTCCAATTAGACTTATATTGTACCATTAGTCACATTGCCCCCATTGTCTCTCCCCCTTATCCCCTTCCCCACCCCAATTAAAGCAATTACAAGAGGTTTCTTTGTTCTGTTTCATATACATGAAGGCCATGTACCATATACCTATACCGTCACCTTAATCTTCTTTCACCCTCTACCCTCCCACTAGTAACCCCCCACACACACTGTACCTATTTTTCAAAATTGATTTAAATGTCAAGCATGAGGTAGCATTACCTTGACAGTGTGTCTACTTAGATGCTCTAACTTAGGTGACATTTTTTCTGAAATTAAATCTCTTAACATTTGTTTTAAATTTTTACTCTTTAATAGTTCACACCAGTTGCAGAGAAAAATCAAGAATCTACAGACATCCTCTCAACCCATCAATCTGAAACATCACAGCTTCCTCAAGGATTAATTTGTCCTATGTCTGTAGATCAAAGGGATAACAAACTATTAAAATCATGTAAGTATAAAAGAAAGAGTAGTGTATTACATTAAGTGTGAGCTTTAAGGAACAAAAATATTTCTAAAGTTTACATTTCTGGTATCAATTTAATAATTTTAAAATGCAAATATCTGAACTGCCTGTGGCATTACTATATTTTCTGCCATTTCTGATAGGTTTGTCGCACATTTTTAAGTAGGCAGAATAAAATATGAGATATTCTTCAATTTCCCATAATATTGGAATGCTCATTAGGTAAATTTCAATATACTGGGTCTATGGAAAACTTTAGGAAGAAGATGGAGTGCAGTGTTGTGTTTTTATAAACTTATCCAAAAGATTATGAGGTAGCTTAAATTAGAAAGTAGAGGTTTATTTATTTATTCATTTATTTATTGTGGTGCTGGGATTTGAACTCAGGGCCTATACCTTGAGCTATTCCACTACCACTTTTTGTTATGGGGTTTTTTCAAGATAGGATTTTTCAAACTGATGTGGCCCAGGCTGGCTTTGAACTGTGATCCTCCTAATCTCTGCCTCCTGACTAGCTAGGATTACAGGTGTGAGCCATCAGTGCCAACTGAGGTTTTTTGTTGTTGTTGGAGGTGGTGGTGGTAGTAGTTTGGTTTTTTGAGACAGTCTCACTACATAGCCCAGGCTGGCCTTAAACTTTTGATCCTCCTGTCTCAGCCTCCTGAGTGGTGGGCAAACAGTTGGTGAGACCCTATCTTAAAAATATCCAACACAAAAAGTGCTGGTGGAATGGCTCAAGTGGTAGAGTGCCTGCTTAGCAACCATGAGGCCCAGAGTTCAAACCCCGGTACCACCCAAAAAAAGAACTTCGTAGCTACAAGTTTAGTACATTACCATATGCAAAGGCAGGAATAAATGTAAGTATATTCCACTTCAAACAATAGGAACTAAAAGTGAGAGTGGGAAATAATGTGCAATGAGAAGGAAAGCTTGGCATGTAGATCAGGAAGGATCAAGTGTTGCTACAGAAATACTAGGATTTGAGTTCTAGACAAGTGGGAGCTATCAAAAGTCCTAAAGTAGGGAATGGCCTGGTCATACCAGCAATTGAGAAACAACTCATTATCAAATGTACAGTATGCACATGATAGTAGCTTAAACACACGTTCCCATGTTATTCAGGGAAGGCAGTTGACTTGTTCAGTCATATAACAAAGTCAATGCCTATTGAGTGTCAGGAATTCCACTGAAAGGATTTGTGTATCAAAAAGAAAGTTGGGGGCTGGGCACAGTGGTGCACATCTGTAATCCCAGCTACTCAGGGGGTGGAGATTAGAAGAACAGCAGCGCAAGGCCAGCCTGGGCAAAAGTTAGCAAGACCCCCATCTTAACACATCTGCAACCCTAGTTTTATGGAAGGCATAAGTAGGAATATTATGGTTCATGACTGGCCTGGGCAAAAAAATCATGAGACCCTATCAGAAAAATAACCTAAAGTAAAAAGGTCTAGAGGCATGGCTCAAGTGGTAGAGTGCTTGCCTAGTATGCACAAGGCCCTGAGTCCAAACCCCAGTACCACAAAAAAAAAAGTTGGATTAGATAGACTTTGAGATTCTTCTGGTTTTAAAATTATAAGACTTACCACATCAAAAAGCTACAAGACCAAGAATTTCCTTGAAATTAAGGTCATATTCACCCTTTTTGGGAAAGAAAAGATACATGCATTTTTTAGATATGTATAAAATGTTTGGGGCCAGTTATGGTGGCAGAAGCCCTGTAATCCTAGCTACTTGGGAAGAGGAGATAGGAAGATCGTGGTCCAAGTCCGGCCTAGGCAAAAGTTAGTGAGACCCTATCTTAAAAAACAAGCCATGCATGGTGGCACACATAGTGGACCACAGGATCCCAGCCACTCAGAAAGCTCATAGTCCCTGAGATAGGAGGAAGGATCACAGTCCCAGGCTGGCCCAGACAAGAGCAAGATCCTACCTGAAAAACAAACTAAAAAAAGCAAAAAGACTGGGAGCATGGCTTAATTAGTAGAGCCCTTGCCCAGCAAGCAAGAGGTCCTGAATTCAACCCCAGTACCATAAAAACAACAGCAAAAAAACCTTTACATCCACATATTTTGATCTTTAGTAAAAGTAGTTGTGTCCAATTATAAGTTTAACAACCATTTTTAGCATTTTGTATTTAAATAGTAAAGGAGCAAGTATCATACAAATAGTGTTACTTTATTGCACTAACTCATTGTGAACCAATTTACCATTACTCATTCCTTTAAGCCAGTGTTAGTAGGAAAATCCCTTATATTGGGATTGGAATGTAGCTTAATGGTAGAGTGCTTGCCTAGCTTGTGTAAGGCCCTGGGTTCCATCCCCTGCACTGTCCAAAGAAAGAAAGAAAGAAAGAAAATCCTGGGGGAGGTGGGGGAGAATAAAGGAGAATGATGATGGGGCAGGCAGAGTGGCTCAAGTAGTAAGAGCACCTGCCTAGCAAGTGTGAGGTCTTGAGTCCACACCCCAGTTCCACCAAAAATAAAAATAAATAAAAAGAGAATGATGGAGGGGTGAATTTAACTAAGATTTATTATAAGCACTTTTGTAGATGTCACAATGTACCCCCAGTACAACAATAATATAATAAAAAAATTTTCAAAAAATTCTTAATGGATATCTATAATTCAAACTTGTGTGTGTGCACAAACATAGGTATGTGTATGTGTATATATATATATATATATGTATAGGTGTGTGTATAGCTTTAATAGAATCCAAGCATTCCAATAAAACTATAGTTTTTAATTAAATACAAGTTGGACTTAAAGCACATCTGGACATGATACATCAATAATGCTCCTTTATCAAGAATACCTTCAAATTGGATAATAAACAACTTAGAATTGATTTCTTTTAATTAAAAATTAATTCCCTTGTCCTGAATTTTACTTTATAAATGTTAAGGGGATTTTGTTAGGACTTTCAGAACAGCACTTGTATTTGCAACAATTTATGAATCTAAATAAATAATGAGAATCATTCTAGAAATACCTGCAGCTATCGTTATGGACTGGTTAGTGTCTACAAGAAATCATTCTGATATGCAGTAGCTACTACAATTATCTATAAAGATTCAGTTTCATTAAGAGACGAAGAAAGTTGTGACATAGCTGCAGTATTTTCTTTTTCCTACAGGTCATGAAACACTTCGCTCCAACCCAGGAATGCCTGTGAAATGTCTAACTTCTAATCTTCTCCAGTCTCGGAAAAGGCTGGGTACATCTAGTGCCAGTAGTCAGTCTCACACCTTCATGTCCAGTGTGGAATCAGAATGCCACAGCAGTCCCAAATGGGAAAAGGATTGTCAGGTTAGAAAGAAATTATTTTAATCCAAACCAACTGTGTATGTCAAATTAATGATGGAAATACCATGCCTTTTCATGCAAATCCTATAAGGAAATTAAATTGGTACATGAATGGCAGTTGAAATATTATTTAAAAAATTCTTCACTTTCCTGGATATTCTGTCAAATTCTTTTGAAATATTTCATATCTCATTCAGTTGTGAAATTGATCTTTTCTGATATATAATGAGTAAATAATTATAATAAACTGAGGGTAAATGTTCAACTTCTAGGCATCTAAGAAGACTTTTTGGGTAGGGGGTTATATAGTACTGGAGTTTGAACTTGGGCTTACACTTGCTAGGCAGATGCTCTACCAGTTTAGCCACTCCACTAGCCCTTTTTTGTGTTGGGTATTTTTGAGATAGGGTCTTGCTTTTTGCATGTGCTGGCCTTGAACCATGATCCTCCTGATATCTGCCTCCTGAATACCTAGGATTACAGGCATGAGCCATTATTGCCCAGCTCTAGCTTTGCTTTTTAATTCCCTACCATGATATTGACATTAGCTTTTGAAATTTTTTATGTTTTTTTAGCCTACATCATTTTATACTGTTTCTCATTTAATGAAATAACTTTTCAAAACTAGCTTTTAGACCACAAAGGATATAGGTATGCCCTTAAATGTATCTATTGTAATGAGATTGCTTACATAATGAATAGATTTACTTAAAATTGTTTTACTTAATTTATACATTCCATTTTTGTCTTTTTTAAAAGTTATTAAAGATGATACTAAAAGATGATAAGAACAAAAATATAAAATTATAGTAATGTCTCCTTTGTAGGATGCTGATAAAATAATCTTAGAGTAAACCTTCCATTTGATAAGATTATTTGGATGTTATTTGCTTCTTATTCTCAGTAATCTGATGTTCTTCATTATTTTTGGATGTTTGTATTTTCTGAGTAAGGTCAAATTAACTTTAGATAAAGTAGGGTTTCTCAATCTTTTGTCTGTTTATAGGCTGTGCTATGGATAATACATGCTATAGAATGAACAGATTTCCATTCCTAGTAATATCATTTCAACTGTTTCATATTCTAGAAAGCATACTGATAGTATTTCAAACTACACACAGCTTTCCCTTCTTCCTCCCAGTTCTTCATCTCAAAGGTCATCTCAATAGCCAGATTATAGTAATGCTTTGAAAGTTACATCAAAGGAGTGATAATGAACCATAGGGGCCCTCTGATACCCTTGTAGTAATCTCCAAATTCATCATTTTCTGAGCTTACAGATCAACAAATTATAATTCAGGAATTTTCTTTTTTGTTTGTGACTAAGTCTTTATTACTAAATAAGTTAATACTAGTTATTAAAATTTGATATTTGCACATCAAAAACAGTCAAGATTCTCTCTAGTTAAATATTCTTGTAAAAATCTTGGTCACTGTGCATGAGATTGCAATATTATAAAACTTTGAGTAAGCCTGAGCACCCACAGATAGTTGGAAATCAAATAGTTTTTTTTTAAAAAATCATTTTGTTACCAGTGCATCTTGTTGACAATGAATTTTAATTTCTGCTATTTCTGGGTTTATTATTCATGTAAAGTATTACATGTTTACAGTAACAATATTTTTGGTCTATAATTTTTCATTGACTAGATTTGAATTTTGCAATTCAAAATAGAATCATCCATACCCCTATTGCCAAACAGATAAATACGTAATGTAGCCTTTCCCCTAGATTTGCCTGTTAATTGTTCTGTTTAATAACATGGTATAGTACCAAAATGATTATTAGAAGTTAACTGATTTAAATTTTTGACCAGTGTTTCATTCAAACTAATGTATGTAAGCTTATACTACAATTATTTTCCAGTTCTCTATTACCACTATTCTTTTGTTCCATTTGAAAGTGGAGATCGGAATGTTAGTAGTTTATGGAGTTGTTTATCCCATGTAGCTAGGCATAGCTTAAAATGTTAAAGAATCTCAGCTTTTATATAACTAAAAAGAATATTTTCCTCCCTCTTAGGAAAGTGATGAGGCATTGGGCTCTACAATGATGAATTGGAATGCAGTTGAAAAGTTATGCACAAAATCTACAAATGCCATCGAGACCAAAAGCTTCCATAAAAAGGATCTGGAATTAGCCCTTTCTTCCATTCATAACAGTAGTGCCATTTCTGCCTCCGGAAGGTCTTGTGTAAATCTTGCTAAAAAATGCTTCTCTGGGGAAGTTTCTTGGGAAGCAAGAGAATTGGATATAAATAATGAAAATATGACCACTGACACAAGACAATCTGGTTTCCATCAGTCAAGTGAGTGGACTGTGAATTCCAGTGGTATGTCTGAAGAGCACTTTGGGAAAAGAAGTTTGAAAAGAAATTTTCACTTGGTTGACTCTAGTCCTTGTGAGAAAATCATACAAAATAAAAAAAATTGTGTAGAATATAAACATAATAATGAAATGATAGACTGCTGTACAAATCAAAATACAGGCTTAACAGCTGAAGTCCAAGATCTTAAGCTCTCGCTGTGTAGAAGTCAGAAAAATGACTGTACCAATAAGGAGAACATTGTCACTTATTTTACTGATAGACAACAAACACCAGAAAAATTATGTATACCAATGATCGCAAAAAACCTTATGTGTGAACTAGATGAAGATTGTGAAAAGACTAGTAAGAAGGACTACCTAAGTTCTAATTTTCTATGTTCTGATGATGAAAGAGCTCCTAAAAGTATTTACATGGACTCAGATTCATCTTTTCATGGAATTTCTATAATGGAAAGTTCCTTAGAAAGGCAGTCCTTAGATCCAGAGAAAAGCATCAAAGAGTCATCTTTTGAAGAATCAAATATTGAAAATCTTACTGTGTCACCAAACTGCCAAGAAACTGCCTTGCCAAAAGATGATGAGAACTCTGCTGTCCAAGATAGTAACCAAAAAATGTTAGTTCCTTCTTCAGAGGTGCTGAAAACATTAACCCTTTCTAAAAGAAATGCTGTAGCTTTTCGAAGTTTTAACAGTCATATTAATGTATCCAATAACTCAGAACCATCCAAGATGAGCATTACTTCTTATGATGCAATGGATATTTCATGTGCCTATAGTGGCTCCTATCCCATGGCTATAACTCCTACTCAAAAAGAAAGATCCAGTATGCCCTATCAGGTATATTACATTTGTGTGTGTGTGTGTGTGTGTGTGGGACTGGGGTTTGAACCCAGGGCTTTGTGCTTGCAAAGAAGACACTTAAGCCATAACTCCAGATCATTTAGCTCTGGTTATTTTGGAGCTGGGAGTCTCTCAAATCATATGCCTAGGCTAACCTAGAACCTTGGTCCACCTGATCTCAGCCTCCCAAGTAGCTAGGATTACAGCCATCAGCCACTGGCAATATTAACAACTTTTTTAGCATTTTATTCTTTGGATTTTAGAAAACTAAACTGTTAAGATGGATATTTGCCTCTCAGCTAGAGTTTGTGGTATTAATTATATAGTTTTGTTCTTATAGAAAATCTGTTAAATTTCCATATAGAAAAATAAAGCTGATAGTAGTAGATAAAGCTAGTATTACAGGAATGCACTATGATATCCATCCTAAACTTTACCTTTATAAACCAAACATTCCATTTTTTTTTCCTTTGGAGAAACATCATAATATAAAAAGTATAAACTTTGAAATTAGGTTAAGAGACTTGGGTTTTCTGTCCAGAATTTACTAAGGGTTTAGAAGTTCCTTAACCTCAGAGCCTGGGCTCAAAGGTGTTGTTAACAATTACATTAAAACTTTTTAAATGTCATTTATGTAAGAAGTTATTTATAATTTCAGCATATGTATTGTCCAAATAATTCATTTTTTAGTCATAGCCTTTCTCACAGGGAATTCCTTTTTTTTTTGTTTTTGGCAGTATTCTTAAGCTTTATATTAATCCATACTACCAAGATTTTGTTTTATTTATTTATGTATTTATTTATTTTGCATTGCTAGGGATCAAACCCAAGGCCTAAGATATACCACTGAGCTATATCCCCAGATCTTTTGTATTTTTTCATTGTTTCTTTTATTTCCAGATCTTATTGAAATAATTGATGGTAAGCTATTGAACTTCATTACATATAAGAACTTTTTCATAATCATAATGCACATTTTCAAATCCCTGGTCAAGGATTTGGTTGCCTCTTCTATGCCTAATAGCCTATGTTGTAGCTTTTTGTCTTTATTTCAGTACTTAATCCATTGTAAAAGGAATCAAGATACTTGTTGTCTCTTAAACTCTTTCTAATTTAGCAGACCCCAAATCAGGTCAAGTCAGGAACTTCTTACCGAACTCCAAAGAGTGTGAGAAGAGGGGCAGCCCCAGGGGATGATGGACGAATTTTAGGAACCCCAGACTACCTAGCACCAGAGCTCTTACTGGGCACAGCTCATGGTAAGCCATGTGGGCCTTGGATTTGGAATTGTTACTTATCATTACACAATCTTTTAAGGAAAAATTGTTTCGAACTTTAATATTTAGATTACTTAAAGTAAAAGAAAATGAACTTATGAAATACTTTCTCATATATATGGCATTTATTTTAGGAAAATAAAAAACAAATGGCTCTTAGTCTCTGAATGTAAAAGACCAAACACTGAAGGACAGACAGCCATTTGAACTTTGCCTTTGGTTTAATCTCAGTGATCCGGAAAAGTCCTGCCTCCCACCCTCTATATTTTGTGTTGCTCACAGTGTTGTAAGCTACAAGTCCAAAATCAAGGTGTCAGCAGGATCATGCTCCATCTGAAACCTTCAGGAGACTCCTTCTTTGCTCTTCTTGCTTCTGGTAGTTTACTCACCATCTTTGGTCTCCCTGATTCATCATTCTAATTGGACCTCTTCATATGGTGGTATTCTCCCTGTGTCTCTTTCATAACATGACTGACTTCTTATAAAGATAGCAGTCATATCAGCCCATCCTAGTCCAATGTAACCTCATCTTATACTAACTGATTGCACCTGCAATGATGCTATTTCCAAATAAGGTCACATTCTGAGGTCTCGGGGGTTAAAGGAAGCCTACTTTGGGGGTTGGGGGTATATAATTCAACCCATAACAGAAGTGCCTTTAATATCTTTTTTTTACATAGATTTTACATTTACTCACGTGTATACATTGTTTGGGCCACCTCCCCACACACACCCCACACCCTGCTTCCAGGCAGAACCTGTTCCACCCTCTTGTTCTTCAATTTTGTTGATGAGAAAATGTAAGAGATAATATGAAAGACACAGCATTTTTGCTAGTGTGAGATAAAGATAGCTGTACAGAGAGATTACTAGCGTTGCTTCCAGGCACTTGTGTATTGCAACCCACATTGGTTCATCTCTACCAGACCTCTTCAGTACTTCCCAATCCCCTTCCCATAATGGCCTCTGCCAGTTTAAGATTACTTTATTTGCTCCTCTCACGGAGCACATCAACCACATTCAAGTTTTAGGTTTCCTTCACTGTCCCTATTCCTCCTACATGCGTGTTCCCCTTAGTGTGTGACCCATGTCCAATAATATTACTGCGTTTGTTTTAGGTCTATAATCTACATATGAGGGAGAACATGAGATTTTTGACCTTCTAAGTCTGGCTAATTCCTCTTTTTCTTCTTTTTATGGCGCAAGGGCTCAAAGCCAGTACCTTGTGCATGCAAGAAAGTGCTTTACCACTGAGCTGCATCCCCAGTCCCCCTTCTTCTACATGTTGATGTTAATTATTTCCCTTTTCTTTGGGTGCACAGGTGCTGGGACTACAGGTGTATACCAGCATGCCCAGCTAGAACTGTGAAGTTTCTGATCTATACCCTCTTTTCTCTATACATGCTTGCTGTTAATCTCATCACTCCTATGATCTCAGTTGTCATCTCCATGTGAATCTTTCCCAAATCTCTATTTCTAATCTAAATAAATTTGTAAAAACTGGACTTGTAGCCAGGTGTGGTGATGCATGTCTATAATCCCAGCACTTGGCCAGCTGAGGCAGGGAGATCATAAGTTTGAGAACAGCCAGGGCTACTTAACAAGTTCTAGGCCAGCATGTGCTACATAGTTAGACACCATCTCAAAAAAAGAAAAAAATGAACTTGCTATCTCACTTGCTCTATCTCTGTTCCCTATATCATTTTCATCACCTTCATTGGGATAGTGATCATCCCTGCATCCAGTTAAGTAGGTCCAGTTACTTAGATCTCTGCAGCATTTTTCGTCTCGGCCACTGTTCACTGTAATAATGTCACCTGCTCTTTCATTATTTTTATGGCCTTCTTATCTGGTCTCTTCAGTTTCATTCTACTGGCTATAATCATTAACATCATGGGTTTTGTTTTGTTTTTTCCCTAAACTATGTGGTTCATTCTCTCTCCCTCCTCAAACACCTGTGGTGGCTCCCTCTTAGCTGATGACATTTGAGGCTCTAAGATCTCATATTAGCCTCATCTCTCAAAGAACCTCTTTATAAGCCTCCCATGGTCTCACTCTGTTTCTTACTGAAATGCATTTAATTTTCAAGTCTTCCTTATTTTGCATATGTATTTTGACATAGTTGGGAAAAGCCAGTCTCTTGTACCATCCAGTCAAATTTCTTCTCATATCATCATTAGTTCATGTGCAGCATCTTAATCAACTACTTATTAGAAATTGTTTAGAACTTACCTTACTCAGGAGCTAAGGATGTAGCTTACTGGTAAAGTGCATGTTTAGCATGTGTGAGGCCCTGCATTCATTCTCCATGCCACGAAAATAAATAAAAGAAAAATTTTTTTAAAAACTTATGCTATTCTGTTATTAGTTGCTATGTCTGTCTCCACTATAAAAACTTAAGAAATTTCTGAAGAATAGAGTTTGAGTTTTCTGCCTTTTACATAGCACCCCAAAATTCTTTAGAAGCACTCAGTAACTGTTCATGATCTCTACAATATTGGAAATAGGCACGTTTAATGTTATTTTATCTTATTAATTCATTCATTTTGTAGTGCCAGTACCTAGCTTGGCTAGGCATGTGCTGTACCATTGAGCTACACCCCTACCTCTAACACTCCCCACTTCCTTTATTAGCCAAAGCAAATAAGTTCCTGTGAGTCCTTACTGATTTTTGTGCAGTTCCCCTTTTGTTAAGTTACAGATTTACTGGCCTATTTCCTGTATTATAATTAGCATTATCTCTAACTTAGCATAGAGTATGAAAATTAGTTTTAGGTTTGAAGATTTATGTTGTAGGATTGCCACTATTTTAGTAGGACATGTGGCCACCTGAGCCAAGCAACAGGCTGACTCAACTATGACCTCCCAGATAACCTCCATGGTCTTGGCCCTTAGTGAAGCAGAGTTTCTTATAATTTCTTGTGAATATTTTTGTTTTAGCTTTTACTATTGTGTTAAAATCATCTATACTGGGTCTCCTAGAGACACAGTCATTTTTGTATTATGTCTGACACAATACCTACTGATAATGAGTGAATTCACAATTTGGGGGGGGAGTTGTTTTTGTTGTGTTTTGGGGGGTTTGGTTTTTTGAGACAGGGTTTCCCTGTGTATCCCTGGCTGAGCTCAAACTCTCCATCCTCCTGCCTCAGCCTCCTAAATTGGGATTACAAGTATGTACCACCACACCTGGCATGAACTCATAATTTTAATACAGTGTACTTTACTGTTTTCTTATGTGCAGGATTTCTGACTTCAGGTAAGTAAGCTTCTATAAAACAATAATGGCAAAGCACATTAACTCAAGTAGTCAAAGTGTAACTAGATCACATAGCATAAAAAGTTGGTTTTTTTTCTTTCAGCTCACATTGAAATACAAAAATGAACTGTCTCTGCATTCTGAGCAGGAAGATTTTCAGAGACATGGTTCTCTAGAAAAAGAAAAATAGGCATATGGTAATTTTTTTAATAGCTTAATAGATATCACAGTGTGAAGATATAGCCTTTTTATGCCAGCAGAAGAAATAATAATGATAAAAATATTAAAATTAGCAGCTACAAAACGCTTTAATTTTCTAAATGTTTTAATTCATTTTCATGAAGGAATAGAAATATACGAATATAGCCCTATAAATTGCAGGAGTAGATTTTTAATTAGAAAGCCAGTAATGAGGGCTGGTGGAATGGCTCCAGTGGTAGAGGACTTGCCTAATAAGTATGAGGCCATGAGGAGTTCAAACACCAGTACTGCAAAAAAAAAAAAAAAAAAAAGCCAGTAACGTAAAAGAAGATTGTTCTTTTTCTCTGACTAATAATATAATTGCTAGGATTTATCATAATGTGATCTTATTACACTTGGACTTATTTATGTATTTGGGTATATGTGACTTGTCTGTGGAGGAATCACATAGGTTTTTAACATCAGTACGTTTTACCTGAGCGGGGAAAAGGGTTCTAATTTCTAACCTAAGTAAAATACAAATATATTTTTCATGATATTTCCCTGCTTTCCTGTTATTGATTATATTATCTAATCTACTGGAATAATTCTTTTCATTGCTGCCTCAAAGGCTACTAACTGAAGTGGTCTGTGGTTTTATAGTGGTTACTATAGAAATAGAAGCCTACAGACTATTGGCATTTTGTGGTACTTAAAGGGAGCTGGGACTGTGGCTTGCAGGTGAAAGGCATTCTAAATGCATGCACTTGTTTTTCCTAATAGCAGATTCCACAATGCTTTCCTACTTCTTTTAAAATGGATGGTGGCAGTTATTTAACCACAATAAGGAATTTTGTGAAACTGTCTTTAAAAGAATAATTTGTAGGCAAATTTAACATGACACTAGCTTTCCTATTCTAAATTTTTATTGAAGTTAACCATTTTTGTGTTAAAATTAATCTTTGCTTAGGAAACATTTTATACATTGGCATAACTGAAGAAAAATATGATCTAGTATATGAGGCAATGTTTAAAATGATCGTTTCATGGACTAGAGGTGTGGTTGAAGTAATAGAACACCTGTTTTGTAAGAGTGAAGCCATGAGTTCAAACCCCAGTCCTTTCAAAAAAAATTTTTTTTTTTTAAATAATCCTTTCAGCTAGTGTGGTTGGCGCACATCTGTAATGTGCGCACTTGGGAGGCTAAGGCAGGAAGGTGTATATGTTCATAGCCTGGGCTATGGAGACTCTGTCTCCAAAACAAAACAAAACAAAAGTTAATAGCTGCGTGAAGTGAGGCTGCAGCAAGAGGATCACTTAAACCCAAGAGTTAGAGGCCAGCTTAGGCAACATAGTGAAACTATCTCACCAAAAAACAAAACAACAACAAAAATTGTATATAAATGTTGCTTCCAATGAAGATATTTAGATATCGGTTTTATCTATTCATTAAGATTTTTATCTTAATTGCCTCTTTAAACCATAGTTTAAATAAGTACTTTTTATTGAAAATATTTTTCATTAAAAATAGTTTGTCTCTTGATGTTCTTAAAAACAAAGCCATTTTTTTTCTTTTATTATTCATATGTGCATACAAGGCTTGGTTCATTTCTCCCCCCTGCCCCCACCCCCTCCCTTACCACCCACTCCAGCCCCCTCCCTCTCCCCCCCCACCCCCTCAATACCCAGCAGAAACTATTTTGCCCTTATCTCTAATTTTGTTGTAGAGAGAGTATAAGCAATAATAGGAAGGAACAAGGGGTTTTGCTGGTTGAGATAAGGATAGCTATACAGGCATTGACTCACATTGATTTCCTGTGCGTGGTGTTACCTTCTAGGTTAATTCTTTTTGATCTAACCTTTTCTCTAGTTCCTGTCCCCTTTTCCTATTGGCCTCAGTTGCTTTAAGGTATCTGCTTTAGTTTCTCTGCTTAAGGGCAACAAATGCTAGCTAGTTTTTTAGTGTCTTACCTATCCTCACCCTCCCTTGTGTTGCTCTCGCTTTTATCATTGTGCTCATAGTCCAATCCCTTGTTGTGTTTGCCCTTGATCTAATGTCCACATATGAGGGAGAACATACAATTTTTGGTCTTTTGGGCCAGGCTAACCTCACTCAGAATAATGTTCTCCAATTCCATCCATTTACCAGCGAATGATAACATTTCGTTCTTCATGGCTGCATAAAATTCCATTGTGTATAGATACCACATTTTCTTAATCCATTCGTCAGTGGGGGCATCTGGCTGTTTCCATAACTTTGGCTAATTGTGAATAGTGCTACAATAAACATGATGTTGCAGGTGCCTCTGGAGTAACAGTCTTTTTGGGTATATCCCAAGAGTGTATTGCCGATCAAATGGTAGATCAATGTCCAGCTTTTTAAGAGCCTCCAATTTTTTCCAGAGTGTTGTACTAGTTACATTCCCACCAAACAGTGTAAGAGGTTCCTTTTTCCCGCATCCTCGCCAACACCTGTTGTTGGTGTGTTGCTATGATGGCTATTCTAACAGGGTGAGGTGAATCTTTGTGTGGTTTTAATTTGCATTTCCTTTATTGCTAGAGATGGAGCATTTTTCATGTGTTTCTGGCCATTTTGAATTTTCTTCTTTGAGAAGTTCTGTTTAGTTCACTTGCCCATTCTTTATTGGTTCATTAGTTTTGGGAGAATTTAGTTTTTTAAGTTCCCTGTAATTCTGGTTATCAGTCCTTTGTCTGAGTATATTGGCAAATATTTTCTCCCACTTGGGTGTTCTCTTCAGTTTAGAGACCATTTCTTTGATGAACAGAAGCTTTTTAGTTTTATGAGGTCCCATTTATCTATGCTATCTCTTCGTTGCTGTGCTGCTGGGTTTCATTGAGAAAGTTCTTACTATACCTACTACTCCAGAGATTTCCTACTCTTCTTGTATCAACTTAGAGTTGGGTCTGATATTAAGATCCTTGATCCATTTTGAGTTCTTCGGGTATAGGTGATATACATGGATCTAGTTTCAGTGTTTTGCAGACTGCTAACCAGTTTTCCAGCAGTTTTTGTTGAAAGGCTGCTATTCTCCATCAATCATTTTAGCTCCTTGTCAAAGATAAAGGCTCATAGTTGTGTGGCTTCATATCTGGAATCCTCTATTTCTGTTCCACTGGTTTCACGTCTGTTTTGTGCCAGTACCATGCTTTTTATTGTTTGCTTTGTTAATGATAGTTTGAAGTCAGGTATTGTGATACCTCCTGCATTGTTCTGACTGAGTATTGCCTTGGCTATTCGTGGCCTCTTGTGTTTCCTATAAATGTCACGGAGAGATTTTTTGATCTCTTTAATGAATGTCATTTGGAATTTGATGGAATTGCATTAAACATGTAGATTACTTTTGGGATGTATCACATTTTTTACATATGTGATTCTACCAATCCAGGGCATGGGAGAATCTCTCCACTTTCTATTAGTTATCT